TAAATTAATGAATAAACTCCTCGTGAATAGGTCCCTGGCATGGCAGAAATACCTGGGAAATGAAGGAATTCCATGGATTTGTGGATATTCCCAGTGGGAAGGGAAGGATTCGGCTCCATCCCAGAGAGAGGAATGAGAGGGAATTGTCCCTCTGCTGGAGATAGGGGCAGGTCCTGGCAGGGGAAAGGAGCAATGATGGAACCGTAAATTCCAGAGCAATTCCACCCATTGGCACAGACTGTTCCTCAGCCAAGGCCCTGAGAAATCCCGGCATTGAGGGGAAAAGAGCAGAGACACAAAGGATAAAAAGGGGGGGATGCACAGGGGAAGGGGGTCTGTGCTGGGGATTTGGGAATTCTGCACCTCTGCAGTCCCTCAGCAATGGGGAAAGAGAGAGGGAAATGTGGCCAGGAAATTGGGGTAAGAAGCAGGGAAATTGGGATAAAAAAAAGGAAGGAAATTGGGATAAAAAAAGGGAAATTGGGATTAAAAGGAAGGAAATTGGGATAAAAAGGAGGGAAATTGGGATAGAAAAGGAGGAAATTGGGATGGAAAGGAAGAAAATTTGGATTTAAAAAAGGAGGAAATTGGGATTAAAAAAAAAGGGAAATTGGGATAAAAAAGGAGGGGAATTGGGATGAAAAGGAAGGAAATTGGGATAAAATTGAGGGAAATGTCCCATGGCCTCTCCCTTTATTGGAATAAAGTCYCAGGACTCCTCTGTCTCCTTTTTGGCCACAAACCTCTGGTGTTTGGGGATGAATTTTCCTCACATGAGGTGTGAACCCGCTTTTTTCCATGCTCCTGGCTGCTGTTCCTTCTCCTGGGAAGCATCAGATTCCCAAATCCTGCAGGGAGGATGAAATTCCCGTGCCAAGGGCCCTGTGACCGCTCCATCCCATCCACAGCATCAGATCCCATTCCTGCTCTGGCCCTAATCTCATTTTTCCAGGCATTAACGTGATGAATTCCATTTGCTGCGCAGCAGAAAGCTTTTAATGAATATTCAGCCCRGGAAGAAGATGCTTTTAGGCTGAAATGACCCCGATAATGGTTTAATTGCCCTTTTTTATCCCGGTTTGTCCTTCCTTTGTTGTTTGGTCACCTCGGAGGCAAAGATCCCCTTGGAAAGGCCACTTCTGTGTGCTCCTATATCCCAAAAATCCGCAGGAAAACCTCTGATAGTGGGGGGAAAAAATATTCCTGAAGGTCATTAATTCTTAATTTCTTTGTTTTGAATTTCTTTAAAAAACATCTATTTTTAATTTTTCCAGCAAGGACACGTTGGAAGAAATAAAAATAGAGGTTTTTGCAAGAGCCTTCGGTAGGTGTAATTTAACGGGGGMGAATTTGATTTTTTTGAGACTGAGTCTGCCACACGTGGCAGGAAGGTGAGGAAAATAGTTGGAATCTCCTTCAGGATGCGACCGACCCCAAATCCAGACTGTAAAGTGGCAAATAATCCCCAGATTTGTGCAGGGGAAGGAGGCTTTGAGTTGGTGCAGAGGATATTTCGGGGTGTAGAAAGTTGGATCTTTGGGATTTTGTGTGAAACACGGATTTTTTTGGGATGTAGAAAGTTGGAGATTTGGGATTTTGTGTGGATCTTTGGGATTTTGTATAAAACACGGCAGAACACAGATTTTCTGGGGTGTAGAAAGTTGGATCTTTGGGATTTTGTGTAAAACACAGCAGAACACGGATTTTTCAGGATGTAGAAAGTTAAATCTTTGGGATTTTGTGTGGATCTTCTGGATTTTGTGCAAAACACGGATTTTTCGGGCTGCAAATGTTGGATCTTTGGGATTTTGTGTAAAGCCTGTCAGAACACGGGTTTTTTTGGGATGTCTAAAGTTGGATCAGTGGGATTTTGTGTGAAACACGGATTTTTTGGGATGTAGAAAGTTGGATCCTTGGGATTTTGTGTAAAACATGTCAGAACACCGATTTTTCGGGATGTAGAAAGTTGGATCTTTGGGATTTTGTGTAAAACACAGATTTTGGGGGATGTGGAAAGTTGGATCATCGGGATTTTGTGTAAAACACAGATTTTTCGGGATGTAGAAAGTTGGATCTTTGGGATTTTGTGTAAAACACGGATTTTTCAGGATGTAGACAGTTGTATCTTCGGGATTTTGTGTAAAACATGATAGAACACAGATTTTTCCCGGCTAAAGCACAGATTTGGCCAAACTCTCGGTGAGAACAGCTCAGCCCTCGYCTTGCAGGATCCGCCTGTGCCTGTTCAGACACAAATTCCTGTCATCCCGACCCGTTCAGGGCGGTCTCAGTGCTCRGGAACCCAGGGAGCTCTGCCGGAGCTGATAAGAGCCGTGTTCTGTGCCTTATCAGCAGCTTCAAAGCCAGCGCTGCTGCCGCTCCTCCGCTGCCTTCAAAGCCCTCTCTCTGCTGGGCTTCTCCAGGCCCCGCTCGGGGATGTTTTTTTCTCCTATTTACAGCTTGTTTCAAGGATGGGATCACTTTGTTTTCGCGTGTCAGCCGCCGCGCAAAATGAGATTTAAACGGGTTGCGTTGGGTTTCCCTGGCTGCGGTTTCTCCCCGATCTCAGTTCCCCCTTTTCATTTTTTGTCGCTGCTGATGGATCCACTGAGTGCTGGGTTCATCCTTTTTCTGTTCAGAATTTTTTTTTTGGGGGGGAATTCTTCCACTGGGCCAGCATTTCACAGAGCAGGGAAACCCTGACGTGTGTTGGTGCAGCTGCGCTTGGAAGGGCAGAGGAAATAAAGTGTGGCCAGAGCATGGAAAATCCATTGAAGTTAAGAAYTGGAATTGGGATTTTAGACTTGGAATTTGTTACTCCTGGGGTGATTTCTTGGCTGGGCTGTTCTATTTGTTACTCCAGTAATGACTTCAGATCTGGGCTGTTGCATTTGTTACTCTCAAAATTATTTCAGATCTGGGCTGTTTTATCTGTTACTCCAGTAATGAATTCAGATCTGGGTTGTTGTGTTTGTTACTCCAGTAATTAGTTCAGATCTGGGCTGTTCTATTTGTTACTCCTAGGATGATTTCAGAGCTGGGATGAGGTGTTTGTTACTCCAGTAAGGATTTCAGAGCTGGGCTGTTTTATTTGTTGCTCTCACAATGATTTCCGGGTTGGGCTGTCGTATTTGTTACTCCAGTAATGATTTCAGGATTGGGTTGTTCTATTTGTTGCTCTCACAATTATTTCAGGGTTGGGCTTTGGTATTTATTACTCCAGAAATTATTTCAGAGCTGGGCTGTTGTATTTGTTACTCCAGTAATGATTTCAGGGCTGGGCTGTTTTATTTGTTAGTCCAATAATAATTTCAGGCCTGGGCTGTTTTATCTGTATGCTGTTGACAATTCATGTCTGAGAACTTTTCCCGGCTGGAATTCTCCCAAAATCCTGGAATGGTTTGGGTTGGAAGGGAATTTTAATCCCATCTCATTCCAAACCCTGCCAAGGCAGGGACCCCTCCCACATCCCAGGCTGCTCCAAACCCCGTCCAGCCTGGCCTTGGACACTTCCAGCCACAATTTCTCTGGAAAATCCAAGAAACTGTTACAAAACCTGGAAAAGAAACTTCCTCAGCCCTTTCCCTGCTTTTAAATCAGTGCCTTTGATAATTCCCAGTCGGAGCTCAGGGGGAATACCCAGCTCTTCCTGCTCTCCTYTATCCCTTTGTCTTTCTCCAGCACTTTCCAAATTAATTTTATAATCACCCCTGAAATGATGGAGCAGCTCAAATTAGCTCTTTCAGCCAGAATTACCTGCATTAAAGATCTCCCTTAAAATAAAAAAAAAAAGAAAGGCATGGAAGTAATTAATGTCTTCAATTATTCTAATGTGGCTCAGCTCGTGCTTTTCTCTTAGAAAAACCTGGTTTTGATAAGTCAGCTGTTCTTAAAAGRGRAAAAAAAAATAAATAAAGAAGTGCTTGAGGCTGGAAGGAATTTGGAAATCAGGTTGTTCCCTTTGTAATGCAAGAGAATAAATTACCCCATTGATCCTGGAGCAGTGCCCTGTGCTCCCAACAGCCCSCTGGGAAAAGGGGGGTTCAGARAGGATTTGGGGTTTTTTTTKGKTTTTTTGCCTGGTYACGGAGMTTGGTGTGAGTTTAAAAAGCAAAGGGTRTTTGTTCAGAGCCCCCCTGGAATTTCTGGAGCCTGAGATGGAATTAAAGGTGGGAGAAAGGAAAGGGGGATCTTGGAAAAGGTTTCAGAGCTGGTGTGTGATGGGGGAGGGAGAAGAGGAGGAGGGCAGAGCTGGTTTGGGATGAGGGGACAGGGAATGGGGTGATGGAGCAGGGATCAGAGTGGGGGTAGGGAACAGGGTGAAGGAGCAGGGGTTTAGGGGTTTATGGTTTGGGGTTTGGGATTTGGGATTTGGGGTTGGGGGTTGGGGATTGGGGTTTGGGGGTTGGGATTTGGGGTTTGGGGTTTGGGATATCCCCCTGATTCCTT